TATACAAATTGAACCCAAAATTAGGAAAACGTTCATGGTTCTAGTTCACTTTTTATTTTTCCCGCACTCTTTATCACATGCATGCAAGATGAACAACCCTCATATCTATGGACCATCTTATTAATACCCAATTATATCTATGTTTGAAATTAAGACATGGGGTGATGAAGTCTTACCCTTTTGGATGAAGAATTTGGTGCTCTATTTGAATATTTCCAAGCTTCAAGTGATGATTGAAGATCAATTTGATGAAAACTTAGGCCCTCCCCCTTGAACCCTCTCTCTCTCACTCTAGAAATATCAGAAAATGAGCTCAAAATAGACCTAAGGGGTATTTTAATGGAATGGGAGTCGGGTTTTAAATTAAGAAAAATGGTGCCCCGACACAGGTCTGCGGTCGCATATGCGACCGCATAATGGTTATGCGGTCCGCAAAGTGACCGCAGAAATGTCCCTCAGGGGCCTAAACTTTTGGCTCAGGTATGCGACCAGTATGCGGTGCGCATATTTGTTCTACGGTCGCATAATGCACCGCAGAACTCCCTCCGCAGAAACCCAGGAGGAAATTATGCGACCGATATGCGGTCCGCATATCGATTATGCGGTCCTCATATTTATTATGTGGTTCGCATATCAATTATACAGTCGCATAATCGACCGCAAAACTGACCACAAATTGGCCAAACTTACTGCTTTACTCTGCGGCCATTATGCGGTCCGCAGAGTGATTATGCGGCCGCATAATGGGCCGCAAAAATGCGTTTTTCTGCAAAACATTTTTCTCTCAGTCTGTAGGGTACTGTTTAGTCCAAAAAGTCCGCACCGCGGCGAGCTTGCTCGCCACAAAGAATTTCTACTATAGTAACGCAGGAATCTAACTTGGCACCACGAAACCCCGAGTATTTTGGTTAAAAATTTTACGGGTCCTTACATGTGATACACCTAAAGATCATTCATCCTCGAATGAGGATTAAGATTCACTTAACACAGTTTTAGTTATGCCACATACCATCAGCCCCAAATTTGTCTAACTTCCTGAAAATTTCGCCAGAGTTTCCTTTGTATTTAGGCCTATCCACTTGCCAAAGAGCCCCCAAAGCACACCTTAGCAACATATGTAGAATTAAATGACAAAACAAAATGCAAAACTCATGAGGGACATATATCTAGAAAGTAGTGTCTCTATATTAGCCGAACAAGTGATACAAACTTTAGGGGAAACAACTTCATAGAACTATTTCATGGCTATTCAAACAAATGAGGGTACCTTTTTTTCATTTCATTCTCGGCTTCCCAAGTAGCTTCTTCGACTTGTTGGTTTCGCAATAACACCTTCACGGATGCAATTTCTTTGTTTCTCAACTTTCGGACCTGCCTATCAAGAATAACAACCGGAATTGCTTCATATGACAATTATTCACTAATCTCGATGATCTCAACCGACACAATAGCAGACGGATCTCCAACTACCTTTTTCAACATAGACACATGGGAGATACCTTCAAGAACACCCAATCAGCTTCTTTGAACTCTAAGTCTCCGTGACGAACATCCGAGTAGGATTTTTGATGACTCTGAGCAGTTTTCAACCGCTCTTTTATGATCTTAAACTTTTCCATAGCCTAATGCACAAGGTCTGGTCCTATTAGTTCAGCTTCTCCAACCATGAACCACCCAATCGGCGATCTACATCTTCTATAATACAAGGTCTCAAACGACGCCATCTAAATACTGGCATGGAAGCTGTTGTTATAAGCAAATTTTACGAGCGGCAAATGATCATCCCAGCTACCCTTGACGTCAAGCACACACGCACGCAACATGTCCTTAAGCATCTGAATAGTACGCTCTGCTTGCCCGTCTGTCTGTGGATGGAAAGCCGTGCTAAGATTTACCTGCGTACCCAAACCTTGCTGAATCTTCTTCCAGAAATTAGCTGTGAATTGGGCCCCTCAATCGGAAATGATGGAAACTGGAGTGCCATGAAGCCTGACTATTTCCTTGATATACAATTGAGAATATTGTTCTGCAGTGTCAGTGGATTTAACTGGTAAGAAGTGTGCTGATTTCGTGAGTCGATCCACGATCACCCAAATTGAGTCAAACTTACGCGGAGTGCACTGCAACCCTACCACAAAATCCATATTGATCATTTCCCATTTCCACATTGGAATTTCTATACTCTGTGCTAACCCACCGGGCCTTTGATGCTCGGCCTTCACTTGTTGATAGTTTGAACATTTTTCCACAAAGTCAGCCACACCCCTCTTCATGTTATTCCACCATTAAACTTCCTTGAGATCATGATACATTTTTGTAGAGCCTGGGTGCACAAAATATTTAGAAGTATGCGCTTCTGCCATGATTCTCTCCCGAAGACCATCTACATTTGGAACACATAGTCGTCCTTGGTACCGTCATCCATGCCAAGAGAAAAAGTCACAGTCTTATGTTTATGAATACCTTCCTTTAGCTGCACCAATACTGGATCACTGTATTGCTTCTCCTTGACCTCCGTCACAAGCGATGATTCCGCCCTATTCCGCACAATCACTCCCCCTTCACTACAGTCCGTAAGACCAACTTCCAAACCAGCCAACTGGTGAACCTCCCAGGCCAAGGGCCTTTGACATGCCTCTAAGTGAGCCAAACTACCCATAGATTTCCGACTAAGAGCATCCGCCACCACATTAGCTTTCCCCGGATGATACAAAATGTCGATGTCATAATCTTTGAGCAACTCAAGCCACCTTCTCTGCCTTAAGTTCAATTCCTTCTGCTTGAAAATGTATTGAAGACTTTTGTGGTCCGTGAATACATCTACATGGACTCCATACAAATAATGATGCCAATGTTTTAATGCGAAAACCACCGCCGCATGCTCTAAGTCATGAGTTGGATAGTTCTTTTCATGATTCTTAAGTTTCCTTGAAGCATATGCTATAACCTTACCATGTTGCATTAATACACACCCAAGACCGATCCTTGAAGTATAGCAATACACCACAAACCCCTCGGTACCCTCTGGCAGGGTCAATACTGGTGCCGAGGTCAATCTTGACTTCAATTCCTGGAAGCTCCTTTCATAAGTATCGGACCACTAGAACTTAACCGCCTTCTGTGTCAATTTAGTCAATGGTGAGGCAATTATGGAGAACCCCTCCACGAACCTCCTATAATACGCGGCCAACCCAAGAAACTGCAAATTTCTGTTGGAGTAGTAGGTCTAGGCCAATCCTTCACCGCTGAAATCTTTTAAGGATCAACCTTATTTCCTTCTCCAGAGACGACATGACCCAGGAATGAAACAGATTCAAGGCAAAATTCACATTTCGAGAACTTTGCATACAATTGGTGGTGATGAAGAGTTTGCAGAATTGCCCTGAGGTGGTCGGCGTGATCCTCTTGACTTCGTGAATATACAAGGATGTCGTCAATGAATACTATCGCAAAAGAGTCAAGAAATGGCCTGAAGACTCGATTCATATGATCCATGAAAGCTGCCGGGGCATTTGTTAGCCCGAAAGACATTACCAAAAATTCAAAGTGCCCATACTTGGTTCTGAAAGCTGTTTTCGGAATATCCTGCTCCCTTACCTTCAATTGATGGTACCCGAACCGGAAATCAATTTTGGAGAAGAACTTAGCACCTTGTAATTGATCAAACAAATCATCTATTCTAGGCAATGGGTATTTGTTTTTGATTGTGACTTTGTTGAGTTGCCGGTAATCAATACACATCCGCAGCGATCCATCTTTATTTCTGACAAAGAGAACCGGTGCGTCCCAAGGCAACACACTCAGTCAGATGAAACCTTTCTCTAGAAAATCCCTTAGTTGTTCCTTTGGCTCTTTTAATTCTGCCGGTGCCATTCTATAATGTGGAATGGATATAGGCTGTGTGCCCGGTATCACATCAATCCCAAAATCAATTTCCCTGTTTAGAGGAATTCCAGGGAGCTCATCTGAAAATACATCGGGGAATTCATCCACAATTGGTACACATTCAAGGGTAGGTACCCCAGCAGTGGTGTCCGTTACTCGGACCAAATAATAAATACACCCCTTCCTGATCATCTTCGTGGACTTAAGGTAAGAAATAAACCTACCTTTTGGCATAACATTATTCCCCTCCCACTCAACAGTTGGCTCGTTTGGAAACTCAAGCCTCATGATTCTGGCTCGGCAATCGAGTTTGGAAAAATATGAATAAAGCCAATCCATTCCCATTATTACATCAAAATCAATCATCCCTAGTTCAATAAGATTGGCCATGGTATCCCGACCATGCACCGATGACAACACAATCCCTATAAACCCATGTGGCCATAATAGACTCGCCAACCGGAGTAGATACAGAGAACGGCTCATGAAGCTGTTCCGGTTCTATCCCGAAGCTCGTAGCAACATAAGGAGTAACATAGGACAAAGAAGATCCAGGATCAATAAGGGCATACACGTCATGAGATTGAATAGTCAATATACCTGTGATGACATCTGGGGAAGCCTCTGCACTCTGTCGACCACTCATAGCATAGAATCGGCTGGGTTCTCCCGAACTCTGTGCAACACCCCTAGTTGCACCACGCCCTGTGGGTGCTGGAGAGCCTCGAGTTGGAGGGGGTGCTGAAGATGTAGCAGCTGTAGGACTGGATGACTGAGTTGTGCCCCTGCCTGTACCCTGATGGGATGCATGACACTCCCTCTGAATATGGCCTCTCATTCTGTATCCGTAACATACTGGCATGTCCAGGTAGCAGACTCCTAAGTGTATCCTCCCACACTTAGGGCATGGGACCCTCTGCTGCTACTGGAATCTCCCGCCTGATTGGCCCTGATGGTGGGACCCCATGTTGCCCGGACCGGGCCTAAAGAGACTCCCCTGCTGCTGGTCGTGCCCTGATGGTGGGGTACTAGTTGAAGACTGAGCATAAGACTGGGATGGCCCTGATGATCCTCCCCGAAAAGCTGATCTCCCACCTCCGAATGAGTCCCCAAGGTTGCCCGCTGATCGGGCCCTACTACTACTTTCCCGTTCCATCCTGAGCTTTAACTTTCGGGCCTCCAAGGCTTGGGCAAATGCCACCATCCTTCCATAGTTCATGTCAGAATTTAGAGCAGTTGTGGTAGCCTCATTAATAACCAAAGGGCTAAGGCCCTGCACAAATCGACGCACTCTTGCCTCCATAGTCGACATCATATGAACAACATACTTCGACAGGCGCACGAACTCCATGTGATACTCCCACACATTCCTACTACCCTGTTTAAGGGTCTCAAACTCCACAACACGGTCTGCCTTAGTCTCGACAGGCAAGAAATGGTCTATGAAGGCATCTGCGAACTCACTCCATCTCGCTGGAGGGCTCCCCTCCTCATGGGAATCTTCCTACATCTCAAACAAGGAATATACCACCCCTTTAAGACGATAAGAGGCCAACTCTACTCCCTCTACTTCAGTAGCATGCATAACTCGGAGAGTCTTATACATCTAATCAAGTAAATCCTAAGGGTCTGCCCCAGGATCAGTACCCGTGAACACTGGAGGGTCTAACTGAAGGAACCTGTTTACCCTAGAACCAGAAGAATCCTCTTGCGAGCTAAATAAGGCGGGTGCAACATTCGACCTCTGGGCCTGAGAAGCTACTAACTGATTCAGCATCTGAATAGCTCCCCTAAGATCCCCATCAGAAATATCGGGACCTGGAGCTGGGGCTGGAGGTGGTCAACAACACACCGATAAGAAGGGCTTTACTAGACACGACTCCGAGACATCCTAGGACGCTTTAAAACCTTTGGCTCTGATACCAAGTTTGTCACACCCCAACCTCGGGGAGCGCGACCGGCACTCAACCGAGTGAACCCGATCGAGCAAGCCTATTAAACCTTTCCTACCCAACTCATTCATAATCCAAAAAGGGATCACATCACCATTTGTAAAACAGGGGAGAGATCAGTTATATAAATATATAAACGTTGCTAGTTCATTTTTCCTTATATACATTATGTCATAGTTAAGTTCCCAAAATACAACATGATCCATCGACCACCCCAACATACATACATGACCCACATAAACGTCTACGGAGCCTCTAAGAGTACAAAGAGCAACATGCCAATGCCGGCAACAAGGCCCCGGCTATACCTCAAAATATGAAAACTTATACAAAAGAAGGACTACATGACCCATGGGAGAAATGGGGCTCACCAAGGCTGTTGTGAGGAGAGAAAGTGAGCACCACTATCTGCGATCGGCACTATTTGCGATGGAACCACCTACATCCATTTAAAGATGTAGCGCCCCCGGCAAAAGGGACATTAGTATTGTCGAATAGTGCTAGTATGTAAGGCAAACGCCAATCTTAGTAGAATGAACAGTGAAACAAAGAGAAGGCAGTCATAATAATCAGTAAGAGCTTCATAGAAACACAAAGACAACACTAAGTAAGGGTCACATAGTTTCCAATTCATTCTTTCCATCTTTTTAGATTAATAATCTTTAGTGCCAAAGCCACAACTCACAATGCCACCGTGTTTTTACACGGAGTCCGATCTCGGCCCGACCGGCTAAGTCATCTCAAGTGAGACATATCCATATCCACAATGTAAATCAATAATTCCAACACAAATGCCGCCATGTGTACAACATGGCATCTGATCTCGGTCCGATCTGCTAAGCCATCTCACTTGAGACATAACCTCTTTCAATTGTTCACTCAATTCACATTTCTTTCCCATCTTTCATTACATGGCACAAACAACCTCAGTTATTAAGTAGTTCTTGGCACTTGGGAACATTTTATAATTCAAGTCTTTTCCCTTTTTTTCCCTTCAAATAACATCATCATTCATGTCGATAAGTACCATCACATAAGGCATTGCACACATAAGGGAAGGAGCTTGGAAACAACATAATTACGTTCTCAAACAACATAATGACATGGTCACCATCTAAAACAATTAAGGAACATGAATCTTTCAATCCAACACCACTAAGGCAAACAATTCTAGTATGATCAAGTTAGAACTTACACCCATTATTCGGACACCAGGAGTTCGATTCTAGGAAGAACAGAGTTAGCCATACATACCTCAATTGCATTTTTTTAGACTCTACAATTATCCGGAACCCTTAGTAACCTCAATCTATTTTTACAATATACAAATTGAACCCAAAATTAGGAAAACGTTCATGGTTCTAGTTCACTTTTTATTTTTCCCGCACTCTTTATCACATACATGTAAGATGAACAACCCTCATACCCATGGACCATCTTATTAATAACCCATTTTAGCTATGTTTGAAATTAAGAGCTGGGGTGATAAAGTCTTACCCTTTTGGATGAAGAATTTGGTGCTCTACTTGAATATTTCCAAGCTTCAAGTGATGATTGAAGATCAATTTGATGAAAACTTAGGCCCTCCCTCTTGAACCCTCTCTCTCTCACTCTAGAAATATCAGAAAATGAGCTCAAAATAGAACTAAGGCGTATTTTAACGAAATGGGGTCGAGTTTTAAATTAAGAAAAATGGTACCCCGACACATGTCTGTAGTCGTATATGCGACCACATAATGGTTATGCAGTCCGCAAAGTGACCGCAGAAATGGCCCTCAGGGGCCTAAACATTCGGCTCAGGTATGCGACCAGTATGCGGTCGCATAATGCACCGCAGAACTCCCTCCGCAGAAACCCAAGAGCAAATTTTGCGACCGATATGCGATCTGCATATCTATTATGCGGTCCGCATATCAATTATGCGGTCGCATAATCGACCGCAAAACTGACCTCAAATTGGCTAAACTTACTGCTTCACTCTGCGGCCATTATGCGGTCCGCAGAGTGATTATGCGGCTGCATAATGGGCTGCAAAAATGCATTTTTCTGCGAAACATTTTCCTCCCAGTTTTCTATAGTAACGCAAGAATATAACTTGGCACCACGAAACCCCGAGTATTTTGGTTAAAATTTTTACGGGTCCTTACATGTGATACACCTCCACCCACATATATTGGAGTGAGGCAGTAGGGCCACTTTGTGTAGAGATTGTGGTATTGGGATACACCTCCACCCACATATATTGGGGTGAGGCGGTAGGGTCACTTTGTGTAGGGATTGTTGTATTGTGATACACCTCCACCTGCATATTTTGGGGTGAGGCGGCAAGGCTAATTTGTGTAGGGATTTTGGTATGGTGATACAGCTCCACCCGCATATTTTGGGGTGAGGCGGCAAGGCTGCTTTTTGTAGGGATTGTGGTATGGTGATACACCTCCACCCGCATATATTGGGGTGAGGCGGTTGGGCGCCATTTTGTGTAGGGATTGTGGTATTGTGATATACCTCCACTCGTATATGTTAGGGTGAGGCGACAAGGCCGCTTTGTGTTAAGGTGTTTATCGAGGATCCCCGACTGAATAACTATAAATGTTAATGGAAGCTCTAAATAAATCTGCTTGACGTTAACGGCTATTTAAGCCCTTTTTATTGTTGCTATGATTCATCATATTCATGTTGTATTTCCAAGCCCTTGAACAAGTGTATTTTTATTGTGTAAGTGAACACTGTGAACGATCTATGAAATGCACAAATGTACTATCTAGGTGATACTGTGAACGTTCTATGAGACGCATATGTGTATAATATGATACGTGAACACTAAGGGCGGTCTATGAAATGTATATATGTAAAACTAAGGGAGGAAGGTGCCACTTTCATTGGCCTTGTCTGTACATGTTGTTACAATTACATTATATTATGTATTCCACACATAGTTCATATGGCTCAGTGTGTCCTAAAAGAAGTTTAGAATGATGCAAGTATAATAAGACATGAAATGTGATCCTATGGGATGTTTCGTAGTTTCTTGATGTACTTTATTTGCCTCTTATTTGAGTTACTGTATTTTCATATGTTATTTTGACTGCCTTATGTACGAGTACTATTCCACATGTACTCACGTCCCTTTTGCCTGGGTTGCTGCATCGTTTAATGGATGCAGGTATACTTCTACAGGATGATATTAATCTTTGATAGGGATCTTCTTCACTACTCAGCTTATGGTGAGCCCACTACAGTTCTAATGGGTGTTTGGGTCTAGTTCATTTTATGTATATAGGTATCCATTGTCATAGAAGCTCCATGTACACTGTGGGTTATGTACTTAAAGTTTTGAGTTATGTCATGTATCTATGTTCACAGTATTTACAAATATTTATAAAGCTATGTACCCATCGTGAGGAAACTTTTAGGCCATTGAGCCAAATATATTCAATATAAAAGTCAAGATCTAATTATGTTATGGTAAATCATGCATGAGTAATGATGAGAGGTTAATGTAAATTAGGCTTGCTCGACTGGGTTTACTCGGTTGAGCACTGGTCGCGCTCCTTGAGTTCGGGGCATGACAAACTTGGTATCAGAGCATGGTTTAGGGGTCCTAAGGTATCATGGAGATGTGTCAGTAGAGTCCCTCTTATCGGTGTATTGCCGGCCTACTTATAATAGGGAGGCTACAACGACATTTAGGAAATGTTTCTCTACTTCTATCCTCGATCGTGCATTAAGGTTCCAAGTTAGTCTCGGAGTTTCTTTGTTAATACTAATGAATGTTGCACATCGTGCTACAAAATGAGAAAGGCCAAAGGATTAAAGGAATGACGCACATAGCAGGCATAATGTGCAAGGTGCCTAATTGTCCTCGTAATGGAGGAAGGAAAAGTCAAGGATATGACCAAGGGGTGAGGCGGTATGGCCGCTTTGTGTAGGGATCATAGTATTGTGATACACCTCCACCCGCATATATTAGGGTGACGCGATAGGGCCTCTTTGTGTAGGATTTGTGGTATTGTGATACACCTCCACCCACATATATTGGGGTGAGGTGGTAGGTCCACTTTGTGTAGGGATTGTGATATTGGGATACACCTCCACTCAGCTACAGAACTGAATGGTTGTGCTATGCCCCTACCCGCACTCTGGCAGGATGAATGACACTCCCTTTGAATATGACCCCTCAATCCGCACCCGTAACATATAGGTAAGTCCATGTTGAAAATCCTCGAGTGCATCTTTCCACACCTGGGGCATGGGGGCCTCCGCTGCT